CAGAGACTCCTCTCTCTCCCTCCTCCTCTCTCATCTGTCTGTCTGTCTCCTGCTTTCCCTCCCAGCGTCCACCTCTGCTTCTGGTCCTCCTCCGTCTGGTCCAGGTTAGAGGCCTCCAGACCCAAAGCTGCCCCTGATGGGCCCATACTCCCTCCATCTCCCCCTCCCCCACCTCCCTGCTGGTGAGTGTCTCAGCTCCCTAATTACAAACCTTCCCAGCCTCTGTGGGCAGCTTCAGTGAAATAACAGAGAGAACAGCACTCTCTCTGTTCAGGATGAAGACCCCAGTAACCCCAACACCTTGGGATCCCAGGTCATATCCCCGCTCCTAAGACTTCAGTTTTTCCCTCTGAAAATGAGCAGCTCAGATTCCAAGCTGTCTAAGGCCACTTCCTGCTCTGACGGGAGCCCCCATGGCCTGCTGGACAGTCTTGAGCTCCGGCGAGTCTTTTTTATGACAGGCAAGCCTCACACACTTTCCCTCTCTCACCGTCCTTCGAGTGGAAAACTGTGTTTTAAAGATGAAGGAGGAGGGATGCTCTGGGCGGGGTCCTGACCTTCTTCAAACCACTCAGGTAAACAGGAGTCCCTTGAGTTATGGCTCCTGCCCAGCCAGGGATGCCGGGGTGAGCTTGGGAGAGAACCTTTTCTCTCCTAAGCTTACACTCTATCTTTAAGGTGGGCTAGGTGTTCTCCTAAACCTGGAACGTTTCCACCTGGACAGAGGACGTCAGGGAGTCTTGCTAGGGGTCCCAAGTCCTTCCCCCAGGGCTGGGGGAGGCCCCAGGATAGGGACTCTGGTATGAATGAGAACCCCAGGCTTTGGGACCCAGCCCATTCGACACTCCCGGGCTGCCCCTCAGCTAAAGCCAGCCAGCAGGAAAATTCGAACCAGGTCCCCTGATCTCAGACAACAAGGTCCCGGAACAACGTCCCGCGGTGCGTCCCGGAAGTCTGCCATACACCCGAGCAATGAATCCAGATAAGGGTGGGGGACTTGCCCTCCCCCGGGCTGCGTTTCAGCGACGCCCGACGCCCGACGCCCTCGTCTCACCGGGACCAAGGGAGGGAGAGCACGGGCTGATCTGGTTCCATCCGCCTCGACCTGGCCAGGGACCCCGGGGTCGGTCGCGCCCCTGTTCCCGGAACAGGACTTCCACTCCCTCCTCCTCCCAACCCCCGCCGCCCCGCCCCGCCCCGCGCGGGTCCCCTGGGGTTACCATTGGGCATCTGGCAGACGGCAGCGCAGCCGGCCGGGCAGCACTTGAGGTTGTCGG